TGAAGTGGGTCTTGGAGGAGTGGAAATAATGCAAATAAAATAGTCTCGTATGAAACTCAAAAAATAGGACTATTTATGGTAATAGTCATAAGGAAAAATAGAGGTGTTCTGCTAATGATGGCCTCTGTAAAACTGATTATTTCCTAGATCTTAAGCATCACCAGCTTACTGTAAGTGGGAATCTTTTTCTAAGCACCTGCTGAACTAGCAGAAATGCCCCATGCCAGTTTGTGCCATGAAGCTCATACTTCAGCCTCTCCTCTTCCCCCTATGGTACCTGCACTCTTTTAACTGCTTCCTGTTTCTCATCTTAGAGAAAGGAACCCCAGGTCCTGACTCTCATAGGTCACAACATCTGAGGAAGGATCTCTGCTGACTAGATTTGGGCATTTTTACTCCTAAATTTAGCATATTATTTTGTATTAAATTAGTTTGCATACATTAGTAAAGGTTGGTGTTGTGTAACACTGTTCTCAAAGACAAAGGCTTACTCACCAGGGAAAGGGAACCAACAATACACCAAAGTAAGGATACCAGGAACATTGAAATTGGTGAACCAATGAGTGACAGCTCAGGAAAACAGGAAACCTAGAGCTCATTGCAAAACTTTCTGCTTTCTCTTTCCATTGAAGTGAGACAGTTCATCATAATATCACTCATTAGGATTACCCACAAGGCAGGATGTGCTTGCCTTCAACCCCAGCACATAGGAGGCTGAGGTGTTATGGAAAAATCAGAGACCAACAGCAGAAGTCAGGTGAGGAGAGGAAGTTTAATTTGAGGCTAGCAGGACTGACACCGTGAATAAAGGAGTCAGCCCCCTTGTTCAAGTTTGGGAGGGCTTTTATACGCATGTTGGGGAAATAAAAACAAAAGGCAAAAAAGCACATAGGTGACAATTAAATAAAAGGTACATGTGATAACTAAGCAAGGTAACATATGGCCACAAAGGTTACAGGAACGGGAAAACTTTGGAAAATAAAGACTTCCATCCTGGGCAACCACAGGGGCAGGATGGGAGACTCCTGTTCACCACCCCATACCTGTCTCTTAAGTGTTTTCCCTATTGTAAAGCTCTTAATTACCATCACATTGCAAAAGCTTTCCACATCCACACTATCCCCTCCTCTTTATTGACATAATCCCTTATGTTAACTAGGCACAGGCCAGGAAAGGGACCTTAAAACTTAGTCTGTCTCAAATGAAGGCTCTTCTATTACAAACAGAAGCAGTCTCCTTTCCTTTCCAGTTTCCCATACCCCAATTTACAGTTTTCAGAAGGAAGGGAGGCATCATATCACATACCTACAGACAGGAAGTAAACTAATCAGAATTCCGACCAAGCTTCACTAAAACTCTTTTCTTCTAGATTGCATACATCTGGTTCAAGGAGGCAGACCTAGCTTTTCTTGAGCCAAGTCAGTCTTGCTATGGACAAAAGAAAGAGCCAAAAGCAACATTTGCATAATATGAAGAAACATAAAAGACATCTTTCGGTAGTCATAGGTAAGCCAATTCTTGTCTGCATCCACTTAATCCAAATCTGTAACCCGGTATGCAGTACAAGCCAGGAATGGACTGAAAATCAACAACTCTGTGTTAAGGTTCAGATGGCCCTGCCCCCTCATGAACAGGGTCTCACAGACTTCTCAAGCTCCTGAGAAAAGGGAACTGAGTTAATAAGCACCTTGGTCTTTGAAGTCAAGAGAAGCAGACTTTTCTCCACTGTTTGGACAACACAGCAATCTTCCCCTTTGATCTCCAAAGATAACAGGTTTTAACAGTCCCTCTCTCCCACTCCCTCTCCCCCCACCACCCAACTTTAAAAAAAATACATCTTCCCACCTTCTGCAGGAGGCAGAAGCCTCCCCCTTTAAAAGACCCCAGTTCATGACCTGGGCAGACATTTTCCCTGCCCAGAAGGGAATCTGTCCCATGTGTGCCTTTGCTAATAAACTCTATTTTGATGGAGTTTTATCTGTGTCCTGGTGCTTCCTCCTCTATTCATTCATTCTCTGACAACTTTTTACCTATCACTCTGTATCTCCATAAACCTGTTCAGAACTTCAATAAGTTTGCTTAAAATGAATTTCATTATTCCTTCTATTCCAGAAATATCCTGTTATTTTAATTTTTATATATAAATCTTTTACTACTATAGTACTTTTAAAATCAGGAGACCATTTGCAATTAGGGCAGATTACATATAGCTGGCTGGGAAGAATGGCTGGATACTCAGGTGAGGGTCCAATGACCCTCCTTATCTCCCTTTAATGAAGGAATATAATCATCAGCAAGCCCAATTGTGATGACCTTTTGTAAGCAGACATGGCTGAAGTCGTGAAGATGGTAGTTCTTTGACTCAGAGAGTACTGTACATGGATTACGATAATAAAATGAGTTAAAATTGCCCATGTACACACTGTGCTTTAAGTTCCCAGGTAGACCTTATAGAAAATATAAAACCATTCAAATATTTTACTTCATGTAGTTCAGAAATTGGTCTATCAAAGAAGGTGTAGAAACACAAGGAAAAGAGAAGCAACTGGTACACCACCTCCAGCATAATCACTTAAGGAAAACTGTGCTATAACCCTGCTCAGACTTTAATAAACCCTTTAATAACAAATTATACAGAAATTTATAAACAAAATCACTAAGCAATTAATATTTTACCTCATATATAGAGAGATGAACAATGATCTTAAATATATTATTATAATGTATAAACTTTGAGATGTCCTTGTAAGCCTTGAAGAAGGTTTTAAATGACGAAGTTTCCTTTAATGGTTTAGAGATGTTTTGCATAGACTTGGAAAATGTTTATTCCATATAAAACATATCTAAACAGAGAGAAAAATTGAACCATGGAGCAGAAGCAATCATTCCTTAAAGTTAATTTATATTCTAAATAAGAACCATGTTATAATTTAACAAATTCAGTTTACAAGAGAACTTACAAGACAATTTGATATCTAGTAAATTATTATTTAATAATTGTCCCCCTAATATTAAACATAAGTCTACATATTCAAACAGTCTCATTCAATAAATACTGTGGTTAGACACGATGTCACGACAAACCATTTTCAAAACCAAAACCGATTACCTTGATGAAATTCTGATCAGATGTATATAAAAGAAAATCTTAAAAGCCAGCAGTATTTTACATAAACATCTAAATACACACACACACACACACACACACACAAACACACAAGAATCTCATCTCAAAAATGGCTGTGCTGAACAAAACCATACGCACTGATGCCAGACATAAGGGCTTCCACTTGAAGAAAGCATTTTCAGAAATATCATTTACATTTAAGACAGTAAATATTTCTGTTTTTAAACTCAACAAGTGATGGAAAACAGAATTATATATTTCATTTGCACCGAAAGCTAACCATAGCCAGAAGTTACAGAATGATTAAAACATTCTAATGCTTAAACAGTTTCCATTAAAGACAATTCCATGGAAGAGGGTAAATAATGGAATGACAAGAAGTATTTAGTCTTAATGAGGCAATACAGAATCAATCTATTATTAAAGACCAGTTAAGACTGAAGATACATACCAAAAGCATAGAGTATAAGAAAATAGTTTTCATGATTATGATTCAATTACAGCTGTCTACAGTTAACTCTTTCTCATAGTAGTGTGCAGGAACTAAGAAAGAATGAGAGATGAAAGCACAAGAGCACAGCACACAGGGTCAGAGAAGCCAGCATGCCAAGTCTGCAGGGCTGGCGGTCTGTGACAGCACAGCTCAGGCTCAGGGCAGTCCTTTGCTTCCTATGAGAAGAGAGGGATAAAGACTGCAAAGGAAACAAACCCACAATCATCTCACTGCCCAGTGTCTAAGAATACACACTGTAGCAAACAGTTATGAGCTAATTCTCAGACATGTCTAGAGGTTGAGTGTATGAATAAAAGTTATAAGATAAATATAACTTCAATTAAGTAGTTATTATGAACACATTGTAATCCCATTTTGTCTCAGGCTGTTCTGGAGGCAAGTCTCAGACCATCTTGGGTATCAGTTCTTACAGGGTACTCCAGAAGAAGCCATGTGCTACCAGTTCTAACCCAGGTGTCCTCTAGCCAGAGAAACTAAAGCACCACTGCCACGTGGCCATCTGCAGGAGCCTGGAGAATGTCTTCCAGGCTGCCATTCAAGCCAAGCTAAGATTACTGTTTTCAGTTGCTGATGGGAGTTTTATCAATAGCTAGTATAAATGTAGTTCAATGCAGTCTTAAACATGAGCATTAAAGGCAAGAGTTTCTCCAAGAGAGAAAAGCACAGAGCCATATCTAGATAAGCCAGCAGAATTTCCAGGGATGCCCCTCCCCAAAACACACCACATCTGCCTGCATGCAGAGCCATACTGCAGGAAACAGAGAAAAAAGACAAGGCCAAAAGGATGAGACGAGAAGACCAGTCCCAGAATTCATCTCCAGCTCTGAAGATGAGTTAACATATTAAATCAAACCTATAACCAACTGGAGTTTAATTTTTTTTTCAAATCACTTTCAGGCCTTTAGAGGTTTGAAAGTAACACAAACCAGACAGAGAATGTCAAAACCAAAATACTTCCAAAGCGAGCAAACTAAAGAGATACTTTAAAACAAATACTATGAAAGCAAACCCAAACCAAAAGGTATGTAACAAATAAGGTCCTTAAACAACCAGCTCAGATATTGTTTTGTTTTGTTTTTCTTTGGAGACAGGGTCTTCCTGTAGCCTCAGCTGGCCTGGAACTCACTATGCAGACCCGGCTGGCCTCAAACTCACAGAGATTTGCTTGCCCCTGCCTTTCAAATCCTAGGATTAAATGCGTAACACCACACCTGGCTTCAGATACCGTTTTGTATAAACAGCACATAAAAGTTTTGTGAAACAAGTACTAGACATAGAGACATTGTCCAATAATAGCTTTAAAAATGTTTAGGGTACCCAAATTTATAAGGCCTTTGAATGCACTATCAAAACATCCTCCTGCATTCTTAAACCCTCTTGGCGGCTTTGCTCAGGTGCCTCCAAGACATGAGTGAATGCTAGAGACACCGCGGGAAGTCAAAAGGACTGTGCCTCACGTGGCTTAACCTTACTTCACACCTGTGACATCTTTTAGGTGAAAAAAAAGGCCTTATTTATAAATCTGCATGTGCATTTTAATGACATGCCAAAAATAAAGCCAAAAATTTTGTACACAATATATGAATGAAAGGAATAACTGAAGTGACCAGTTTGTTTTGACAGAAACATATGAAGACAATAATCACAGACACACAACAGAATTACTTGAGATCTCAACACGTGAGGCATAACATGACATAATTACATGAAATACCAAACTGTAGGACCCCGAGACACTCTTCATTCACCCGCTACCCCCCAATACCTCCAGACCCCCACTAATTGCTCTTTTAGCTTCTGTAAAATGCTTGGCTGCTGCTTTAGACATGCCTAGACATGCCCTGGCATGCCCTGACCCCTGCCTGCTATCCCCTCCCCTCCAGGAAACTATAGATTAAGCAAGCCCAGGCATGAAAATTGCCCTATAAGGTAAAAACGGAAACTCCTGGCCCCACAAATAACAGCACATTCCACAGCCCTGAGAATAGCACCTACCAATAAGAAACTTGCAGGGCTGCATCTTATACATCCAATCAGTTTAAAATTATGTTGGCTCACACGGGCTCCTTGAACCAACCAAAATGTATCTTCAGTATCCCCCTCCACTCTTTGTCTAAAACCTATAAAAGGCTCCACTCTCCCTTACTCTGGGCTCTCAGCATGGATCCGTTGAGTTAGTGAGGTCTGAGAGCCCAAGCTTAAGCCTGAATAAACCATAAATCTTTGCTTTTGGATTTTGGTGTGTTGGGTCCTCAGTGGTCTTTTTGGGGTCCAGTGGATGAGGAACAACATTTGGGGGCTCTCCCGGAATTCCCCCCCAGAGACCCCCAAGAGGAACCAACCCCAAAAGTTTTGTGATCACCCAACCGGGTAAGTTTTTGTAAAACTGTGTGTGTGCCTGTCTTCTCTATGCTTTCACTTTGGTCGCAGCCATCTGATCTCAGTTTTTCTTTGTCGCTGAAACACTAGCAACGTGACCTGGAGGATTTGGGAGAAGTCCCCATCCTCATCGGGGTGGGTGTTCCTCATTGGACACCCCACCAGGGCACTAGTCCATCTGAAACCTCAGAGGACCTCACAACCCTGTTGGGACACACGCGTCCTATCTGTACAGTCTTTGGCATAATCGAGCCAGGGAATCCACATGGCCGAGTGTCCAGACCATCTGAAAGCTGTGGTAGTTTATTCTGGGCCCTCTGTTTGTCTGTGTCATTCTTGTGTCTTGTGATATTCATTCTAATTTCTTAGTTGACAAAACGGAGGGGACTGATAAATACTATGGGCAACACCCCATCTTCCCCTCTAGATCTTACACTAGCCCACTGGGGGAACGTTAAGACGATTGCTCATAACAATAGTGTAGATGTAAAGAAAAAGAAATGGACAACTTTATGTTCAGTTGATTGGCCCTCCTTTAATGTTGGATGGCCCCCTGAAGGGACTTTTAACCTGAGTTTGATTTCCAGGGTAGAGGACCACGTCTTCCATCCACAGATGGGCCACTAGGACCAGATCCATACATCGTGACCTGGCGAGGCCTCATCGAACAACCTGATGGTCCACCCACCTGGGTCAAGTCCTTCCTTCCCCTGATTAATCCAACTGCTCCCCCTCCACCTCTGCAGGTCCTCCCTCTCAGACCAAAGGCAGAAGTGAAACCCATTCTCCAGGGAGGCACAGAGGAGAATGACATCTTTCCACCACCCTACTCCTCTCAGACAGGCACCCTGCAAATGGTGCCACAGGTACAGGCCTCGCCTCCTAACCCTGAGGAGCTACCATCACCTCCACAGGGACCTGCGCAGGCCACACGGATCTGGACGGGTGCAGCCCCCCAGCCTGACACCATGGACCTCCCCCTCTGGCTGGCGGGGCCCCCAGACAGAGAGGGCAATCATCCCTTTCATTACTTGGCCCTTTGCCACCAGTGATCTTTACAATTGGCACTCACTGAATGCGCCTTTCTCTGAAAACCCCAGGGACTTGATTACCTTATTGGAAACTGTTCTCTTCACTCACCAGCCCACCTGGGATGATTGCCACCAGCTCCTGAGTGTCCTGTACACTACTGAGGAGTGAAACAGGATCCTAGAAGCAGCTCGGAAATTGGTTCCGGGCCCCACCAGGGACCCTACCACAGACCTAGACATCATTAATGCCAGCTTTCCCCCTAGCTGTCCCAACTGGGACTACAACATGGCAGAAGGTAAGAAGAGGCTCCTGGTCTACCACCAGACTCTGTTAGCAGGTCTCAAAATGGTGGCTTGAAAACCTGCCAATATGTCTAAGGTCTATGATGTCAGACAGGGGCCCGAAGAGAGCCCAGCCTCATACTTAGAGAGGTTACAAGATGCCTTCCAGCAGTTCACTCCGTATGACCCAGAAGCAGAGGAATCAGCTCAAACTGTGATGTTTGCTTTCATTAACAAGGCAGCCCCTGACATCAAGAGAAAGTTACAGTCTTTAGATAGACTAGGAGAAAAGAACCTTAGGAACTTAATAGCAGTGGTGGAAAAGGTTTATAATAGAAGGGAGACAGCAGAACAAAGAGAGGAAAGAAAAGAAAAAAGGAAGGAAGCCTGACCAGGGTCCTGGGGAGAAAACAGGCCCACCACAAGAAGGACCTCAGAGAGATATTATTGGCAACTAACCCACAGTATGGTGGGAGCTCACTGGTGGGATCCAGATCAAGAAATAAGGTAGGGAAAAACCAGTATACCTACAGCAAGGAGGAAGGACACTGGATGAGGGACTGCCCCAAGAAGAATAAGCAATCACCTAAGGTATTACCAGCTCTAATTGGGGGTGAAGACAGTGACTAGGGGAGATGGGGCTCAGGTCCCCTCCCTGAGCCCAGGGTAACCCTGAAAATGAGGGGAAACCAATTGAGTTTATGGTGGATACTGCTGCCCAGAATTCAGTTTTATTGGAGCCAAGAGGGCCAGTGTCCTCCAGAACTACATGGGTAGAGGGGGCAACAGGAACAAGGCCCTATTCATGGACTACCTGAAGAACAGTAGATTTAGAGAAGGGATGGGTATCCCACTCATTTTTAGTAATCCAAGAATGTCTCTACCCACTTCTGGGCAGAGATTTATTATCAAAAATGAGGGCACAGATCCACTTCACAGCTAAAGGAGCCAGGGCCTTGCTTCACAACAGGGCAACAGTTCAGGTTCTAGTCACCAACAACCTGACTGGGAAATATAGACTTCATCAGGAGCCGATCCAACCAAACCCTGACATATCAGATTGGCTCCAAAAATTTCTCCAAGCCTGGGCAGCAACAGGGGGTATGGGTCTGGCAGGACACAGGCCTCCTGTATATGGTGAACTCAAAGCAGGGGCAGACCCTGTTAAAGTGTGCCAGTATCCTATGTGCCTAGAGGCAAAATGTGGAATTACTCCACATATCAGAAGATTAATGAAACTGGGGGTGCTGACAATGACCCAGTCTGCCTGGAACACCCCACTCCTGCCTGTCAAAAAGCCCCAATCTGGGGACTATAGACCTGTACAAGATTTAAGGGAGGTGAACAAGAGACTCATTGACATTCATCCCACTGTCCCCAACCCTTATACGTTACTCAGTACCCTGTTACCAGATCAGCAATGGTATACAGTTCTGGACCTCAAGGACGCCTTCTTCAGCCTGCCACTAGCTCCCAGCAGTCACCCCTAATTTGTCTTCGATTGGCATGATCCGGAGACAGGAATCAATGGCCAACTGACCGGGACACGACTGCCTCAAGGGTTTAAAAATTCTCCAACTATGTTCGATGAGGCCCCGCATGAAGATCTGGGTGAGTACAGAGACCAACACCCCAACATAAGCCTGTTACAATATGTAGATGACTTATTGATCGTGGCACCGGACCAGAAGTCCTGTCTGAAGGGGACAGAGGACTTACTCCACATACTTGGGGACTTGGGATACTGGGCCACAGCAAAAAAAACTCAGATATGTCTGCAAGAAGTGACTTACCTAGGGTACATCCTCAAGGAGGGGCAGCGGTGGTTCACTAAGGCCTGCAAAGAGACTGTGCTAAAGATACCTGCACTGACCTCCAGAAAACAGATGAGGGAATTCCTGGGTACCATGGGGTTCTGCCACCTCTGGATTTTGGGGTTCGCTGAAATGGCAAAACCCCTATATGAGTCTACCAAAGAAGGACAGGACTTCAACTGGACGTGGGAAAGGCAAGAGGCCTTTGAAACCCTAAAACGCAAGCTCTTAGAGGCTCCTGCCCTAGGACTACCAGACATAAGTAAACCTTTCTATTTGTGGATGAACGTAAAGGTATGGTGAAAGGGGTCCTCACCCAGAGAGCAGGCCCCTGGAAGAGACCTATGGCATACCTATCAAAGAAATTAGACCCTGTAACAGCTGGATGGCCCCCCTGCCTGCGAATTATAGCAGCAGTGGCCCTGCTAGTTAAGGATGCTAAAAAGTTAACCCTGCGACAGGACCTGCTTGTGGCAACCCCTCATGCCCTTGAGGGGGTGCTCAAGAAATCTGCCATAGATGGTTGAGCAATGCCAGATTAACTCATTATCAGGCTCTGCTCCTAAATCCGCCCAGGATCACCTTCCAGGTACCAATGGCCCTGAACCCAGCCATGCTGTTGCCAGATCCCAATACCGGGGACCCACTCCATGACTGTACTGAAATTCTGGCACTGGTGCATTGCATCAGACCTGATCTGAAGGATGTTCCCTTGCCTGATACCATGGAAACCTGGTACATGGATGGAAGCAGCTTCATCAGAAATGGTAAAAGGCATGCTGGGGAAGCGGTCACAACCACCTTGAGAGTCATTTGGGCTGAGCCACTGCCAGTAGGTACATCGGCCCAAATAGCTGAACTGATCGCACTTACCAAAGCCCTAAAGATGGGTAAAGGAAAGAAACTCATTGTATACACAGATAGCACATATGCATTTGCCACTGCCCATATTCATGGGGCCATCTATCAAGAGAGGGACCTCCT